CTGAATATCGAGGAACTCAATATGCCCTGATGGTCAGGAAACCAGAGCAGGTAGAACAACTGAAAGCATTGAAGGACTTCCTTCGCCGCAACAAAGCATGCACGAACTCCGTATCAACATTTGTATTACCATCCGATCTCCAAGACTTCTCAATCAACCAACCTTTTACAATGGCGGAATTATCATTTGCTCTCGCTTGTAGCAGTGGAAAATCTGAATGCCCTGACGACATTGGATACCCCATGCTAAAGCACCTTCCGATTCGTGGCGAACAAATGCTTCTTAAAAAATTAAACGAATGTTGGCAAAATGACTTCTTCGAAGAACGGATCTTCATCAATTGATCCCAAGGACTTCCGTCCAATCGCATTAACCAGCTGTGTCTGTAAGGTTTACGAACGAATCATCAACAGAAGACTGATAGCGTACCTTCGAGAAAACAATTACCTGGATCATAGACAACATGCTTTCCGACAAGGCTTTGGTACAGGAACATACTTTGCTTCTTTGGGCCAGGTTCTCGATGAAGTTCTAAGAGACAACCTACATGTCCACGTTGTCATTCTAGATTTCTCCAAAGCATATAATCGTGCTTGGACACCCGGAGTGCTAAAGATGCTGCAAGAATGGAACCAAAGCGATCATCCAAGATGCTTGAGCCCAAAGCTTGCAACAAGAAAGATGGCTATTTTGGCGAAAGGTGAAAGGTGACATCATGAAATGGACCGATCAGTGTGCAGATTTCGCGAATTTCGCGGATTTGTCGCGGATTTGAACTTTCAGTCGCGAAAATCACGGAAACATTAAATGATGTCGCGAAAATCGCGAAGGGACTGATATGCTGTCACAAAAATTGTGGAATTCATTGTAACCTTTCCGTCCCGGATTATTTTGCTGTTATCAATTTTGTTGTTCATTTGGCTCTCAATTTTTTACCCGTTCAAACCAAACACCCTGCAAATAATCGAGAAATGATCTCAATTCCATAAGTCACACCGGATTTACACGGAAATTCGCTGAGTCATTTGTCCAATGTGAGACATTTTCCTTTTTTTCCAATACGAACATAGCATTTTTCGTTGTCAAATCATAAACGAATCGTATATATGCGAGTAATTGCCATGTATACCGGATATTCTAGGTTCTCCAAATCGTCCTGGAGTTCAGTTGACTTGTTCTACTATATCAACCAAGACTCCAATAATGTCTGTAGTATCGAAATATGTCCAAACAGATTCAAAGTGTCTATGTGGATTGTACCCGACCTATTGGTACGTATACAGGATGTTATAGGTTCCGAAATCATTCTGGAGATCAGATTATTTTTCTACTAGATCACCCAAGACTAATTCAATATCTGTAGTATCGAAATATGCCCAATCAAATTTGCAGTGTCTATGTGGATCATGCCAACCTATTTCCGTATATGCCAAATGTTCTAGGATTTCCAAATCGATATTTCGATACTACAGATATTATCCTCATCTTTGTTGATCTAGTAAAACAAATCATCTGAACTGCAGGACGGTTTGGAGAACCTAGATCATCTGGTATACGTGGAAATAATTAAACATTATCCATATAGACACTCTGAATCTGTTTGGACATATTTCGATACTACAGACTTTATCCCAGTCATGATTGGTCTAGTAGAATAAATCATCTGAACTCCAGAACGATTTGGAGAACCTAAAACATCTGGTATACATGACAATAGTTCATGCATGATCCACATAGACACTGTGCATCTGTCTGGAAATATTTCGATACTGAAGACATTGTCCCAATCTCGGTTGATCTAGTAGATCAAATTATCTGAACTCCAGGACGATTTGAAGAACCTACAACATCTGGATTACTCGGAAATAGATGATCCACATAGACACTTTGAATCTGATTGGACATTTTTCGATACTACAGACATTATTGCAGTCTTGGTTGATCTAGTAAAGGGTGATACGGTCAAAATTTGGTCAAGGGAAAACGCGTGTAAATCGGGAAATCGTTTATTTAAAAAATCAAATTAAATTTCTTTTTCAAGTTCAATTAGTATAAAATTCAGGAAAAATATTCAGTTAGGCTTCCGCTTTTCCAAATCCGAATTGCCGGGCCTTACGCTTGACCCCTGCCATCAGATTTTGTACAGCCACCTTGTCCACCTTCTTCGCCGCAGAAAGCCAGTTTGCCTTGAACTGCTGCTCGCCCTTAGCAGTTTTTTGGTCTTCTTTAGGTTCCGCTTGACAATAGCCCAGTATTTCTCAATTGGCGTGTTGGGAGGGTTCTTGTCCTTGGGAACCACCTGCACGTTGTTGGCGGCGTACCACTCCATGGCCTTTTTACCGTAATGGCAAGATGCCAAATCCGGCCAAAACAGTACGGAACAACCGTGTTTCTTCAGGAAAGGCAGCAGACGTTTATTCAAACACTCTTTCACGTAAATTTCTTGGTTGACAGTCCCGGAAGCTATGAAAATGCTGCCTTTCAAGCCACAGGTACAGATGGCTTGCCAAACCAGATATTTCTTTGCGAACTTTGACAGTTTCATGTGCTTGAAAACATCTGCTACCTTTCCCCTTCCTTTTGCCGTATAAAACTCCTGTCCCGGAAGCTGCTTATAGTCGGCTTTGACGTAGGTTTCGTCGTCCATTACCACGCAGTCAAACTTCGTCAGCATCGTCGTGTACAGCCTCCGGGATCGCGCTTTGGCCATCGTATTTTGTTTATCATCGCGATTTGGAGTCACTACCTTCTTGTAAGTCGATAGTCCGGCTCGTTTTTTGGCTCGATGCACGGTTGTAGACGATACACCCAGCTTATTTGCGGCATCTCGGAGAGAGAGGTTAGGGTTTCGCTTGAAACTACCGGCAACTCTCTTTGTCGTCTCAGCGGCTTCCGGTTTTCGATTTCCCCCCGATCCAGACTTCCTGGCTGTCGACAAACGTTCCCCAAACACTTTAATTACATTTGTAACGGTTGATTTGGCAACTTTTAGCGATTTTGCCAACTTTGCGTGCGAGTAGCTCGGATTTTCGCGATGCGCGAGCAAAATTTTGATACGCTGCTCTTCTTGCTTGGACGGCATTTTGACAACTGAAGAGTGAATTCCAAAATCAAAATAGGAGCAACATTCTACACACACACACCTTCAAAATGAGGGGTGTTCAGGTTTTTAAATGCAAAATTGAAAGAAATACGTCAAGTTGATATTGACCAAATTTTGACCGTATCACCCTTTAGAACACATCAACTGATGTCCTGGACGATTTGGAAAACCTATAATTTCCGGTATGCATAGTAATAAGTCGTACGATTTCGACGCGTACATGATCCACAAAGTCACATATATACGGTTCGGTTATGATTTGACAACGAAAAGTGCTAGTGCATATTAGAAATAAAAAAAAAATATGAAAATGTCTCACCATTGGACAGAACCCAAAGAATATCCGTGTAAATACACAACCGCGACGTGACCAACAAGGGTGACTTATGAAACTCTGGTAATTTCTCGATTATGTGCAGGGTGTTTGGTTTGAATCGGTAAAAAATTGAGAAAACTAGAGCCAAATTAACTACAACATTTAGGACAGCAAAATACGTCAGAGACGCAAAGGTTAATTTTCAAGAAAATTTGCATTTCAAATGAAAATGCATTAATTTGAAAAAAATAATGTTTCATCAAATCTAGGCCGGTATTATTCAATAGAATCTCATAATGTAAGGGTGTTTTATTATGTTCACTAATTACTCAGAATTTATACTATACATAAATAACTGAAGATGATACAATGCTATTTAAAAAAATCAAAAGTTACAAACGATACTCCTTTAGCTCAGTCGGTAAAGGCGCAGCTACAAAGCAAGTCCATGCTGCAGGCGACTGAGTTCGATTCCCGTCCGGTATATTAATTTTTCGGGTTGGAAAATTTCTCTTCCTTATTGGCCATAGGATGGTACAGGCATAGAAAGCTCTCAATTAAAATGTGAAAGTACTTCAAACAACACTAAGTTGAGAGCAGGCAAAAATCTAATATGCTATAAGCAATAAGCTTGAAATGCCATGTAATAGTATACAAATGCTATTTTTAGGCAATGAAAACAGTTTTTTTTATCTCGGATTAGTACTTGAAATCGCGGATTTCGCGGATCAAATTTAGGAAATCTTGTAACAGCCCAGGACTTGCCATTTCACAACTGATCATCCTGCAAATACCTAACGGACCATTTTCCTAACATCAATATTGTTATCATCATCACAGCAACCCACATTTGCCAACGTTTAACGGATTACGATTTTATTTTACTTTTTTATAATATGTATAATATGCCATGAACTAACTATTGTAACTATTTATTATTCAATTGCCAAGGGGGGCCTCACTGGATCTTTCAAACGCCCTCTCCACGTTATCATTAAACGGAAGATGAATCAGCATGCGGCTGAAAATCTCGATAATAGACATAAAAAATAGGTTTATCTATACTAATTAACATACAAATTTTAAACGCAATGCGCAAAGCCGGGCTACAACCAATCGTCCCAAATTTTGCACAGTTGTTTGGGACCCCAAATGGAACCAAAGAAGATAACGATGACCTACCCTAATGAGCATAGAGGAAATATGCCATCACTCTTCCGGGTTATTTCGTTCCAGCTAGACAACCACTGGTCCAATCGGGTGTCTACCAGTTCCAAATGAAAGTAGATTGCAATACCTTTCGAACGGTGGCTGGAATAACGATTGACGGATAAATTTGATTCATAACCTTTCTTGCAAAATATCAAACTTTACGAGTGTACTTTTTTATGAATTGTCACAACCACCCTAGACACCCCGCGCCAAATTGATAAACACCACCACCTGAGTGCGAATGCCGACCGAGCACGTGTACCCACATATTTTTCGTCTTTTTTTTTCAATTCATATCGAGCAAATCGCAAACCCCCGATATCGATAGCGCGCACAAGTGCCGCAGCGCTATCACCGAATCATTCATACCTTGCCGATACATGCTCCTCATTGTGTTTCCGTCTGTTATTATTATTATTATTCCGTCGGGTGGCAGAAATTTCCTCGTGTGATTTTATCTAATGCCTCGCTGCTTTGCACTCTTTTTCTTCGTTTCACTCAGGTACATCACTCCGATCTAACATTTTGTGTCTTCCTAAAGCTTCCACAACATTCGTTACACTAGCATGCCCTCACCCTCGGAACGGAACGAACAAATCAGAAAATAAAAATAACACTACATTTGTTGTAAACTCCCAGAGTTCACTCTACTGGAACTGTGACGTGCTTTGTTTTCGTTTGGTCTAAAAACCAGCGGGGGAAGTAACTAGTAGGCGAACACTCTCCGAACCCCGAATGCCAATTTCACGTAAATAATTCATGTGCATAAAACTTCCTCACGCTTTCCCGACGTTCCGCGTCGCGTCACGTCGCTCGATCTGTGATCTATGCTCTATGCTTCCATGCACCGACTCGAAGCAAGCTTCGGATGATAGCGCAAGGGCGTTTAATCTACCACCGCTCATTAACCGTCGCCTACTTCGGTTTTTTTTTTCGCACTCACTGACTGACTGCACTTTCATTTACTGCACTGGGGATGATGCATCTTTTCGCGTGCACTCACAAATGGAATGTCGTCATTTTTCCATTATGAATTAATTTTTTTTTGCTCCAACGTCAAACTTGACGTTTGTCACTGCACTTCGGTTTGGCCCAATTCACCGACTGGTGAATGACGTTTCAAAGATTGCACTCAATTAACAGCGAACAAAACCACACAAAATTAACAATTCAACACTCTAGATCACTAAACAATAATCAACAAACAACCGTGTGCCTGGAACAACAACGAAACGGGAGCTGGAGGAATAATGGAGAAGCGCAGCACGACGAAAACAAAAGCGCACAACATCCGAACGCGTTCGCCACCGGGAGCCGATTGATGAATTTTCAGTTTAACTCATCGTTGTCGAGAGACCGAGATACCGACCTTCCGTCGGCATCGTGATGCACCACCCGCCCCGGGCCCATCATAATCGTATAATCCGCATATAAATGGTGCCGTATAAAATATACACTGCCGATTGCCGCTATCAGCCCCGCGCCAGGCCAGCTCGTAGAGTCGTAGGTGAAATGTGTTTTTTGTTGTTGTTGTTGTTGTTGTTATTGTTGGGACATTTTATTCATTTTTGCTCCACCGTACGATAGTGGTAGTGTCCAGGTGTAGGTTCCTATAGGCTCTCGGTGCGAGAGTATATGGGTGGTTAATGTTTTCCCACCCAACTTTCCGGCCCAGTGGCCCCTAGCTCTAGCCCTCTCAATTCCCATACATGTATGAATTGAGGAAAACGACGAAACGAAGCTTTGAACGAACTGGTTGAGCATTTCCGTTTTTGGGTGGCTGCTCGTGCTCGGTTGCTCACGTAGGTACCTACTTTGCCACTTGCCGGTAATTTTTCGTCACCGCACCACCGCACCGGTTTGCTGGGGGATTGAGAATGAATGCTGGGTTCTATCTGGCAGTAGGGTGGGTCCAAAGCGAGATTCTTTTAACTTATTGAGGCCCGATAGCGATTAATGCTGGCAATAGTGACTTACATTTGTTAAAAAACGTGACTTAAGAGAAGAAAAGTAGTCGTTCTGATGTTTTAGACTTTTTCAATAGAAAGCTTATTACGAAACCCACGGTAAAAGCCAGAGTGGAAACTTTTCTCAAACCTGTTTTCCATTTCCGGTACCGTCAACGAACGACATGAACATGAAAAAAACTTGGTTTTTCTGCCACTCTCCGGATGGAATCCATGTTTCCGTTGGTCGCCTGCTTCCCGATGTGAAAGGGTTCTCAGGGCAAAATTGTCCGCAACGTCTTATTTTCCACAGATGAGATGGTTGGGATGGCAGAGGTCTCGACCTGGATGGTACGCGGAATCTACAGCTCGATTGCAGTTCACTAATAGAACGTTCCACAGAAACTAACATTTCTGCTTAAAATCCACTCCTCGAAAACTAAACTGGGGATTGTTTTTCATTAAAAGCACTTCAGAACGGGGAACCAGGCGCAAACATCTTGACAGCAAAAATAAACACGACCGTTCGCCGGCACAGCCTACTTCATTCTCCTGCCTTGAAGTTCTTTTGTAGTTTATGAAACTAGCCTGATGCTCACAATACCTCTCATCAAATTTTTAAACTTCCCTGAATTTTTTTCGGACTTCCTAAAGCTTTCTCAATTTTTCTATCGATCATGGATCTTCTCTAAAGTTTTAACAATTCGCTGAAGTGCTCTAAATTTCTTTAAAATTTATGTATTTTCTCCAATGTTCAATGGACTGCTCTGAGGTTCTCTGTTCTTTCCTGAAGTTCTCGAAACTTCTCTAAAGTTTTTTGCAGTTCTCATAAAGCTTGTTGTACTGCTCTTATTTTAATTGAGCTTAACATGTTTAAAATTTCCCGTTAATTTTATTAAACACGTGAACTTGCCGCTATTTTTGGAGCTTACTAAACTTCTTTGAAATGCTCCAGCATTTTGCTTATGTTCATGGAAGATCCTGAAGTTCTCGGTATTCCCTTAAGTTCCATAGATTTCTATGAAGTTTTCGAAATGTTTCTTAAGATCTCTGCACTTCTTCAAAGTTTTCGTAGTTTTTCTGAAATTTCTGTAACTTTTTAAGATCCCGTAATTTTCTTGGAATTAAATCGAAAAAAATAATATAGATCTATGATTTTCACTGAAGATCTAATTACAAACAGTGAACAATGAATTATCAATCCGTAAAGCTAACGCGATTCTTCCAAATAAACGAACTGAAGCTCTCAAGATTTCTCTAAAGTTCCTGAATTTCTTTAAAGTTCTCTAGACTACCCTGAATTTCTCAGTATGCTTTTTAATAGGAACCCGCAATTTTACTGAAATTCATTGTATTGCCCTGAAGTTTCAACAATTTTCCTTAAGTTTTATAAATTTTGTAAACGCTCGCGGAACTTTGCCCTAAATCACGATTTTTTCTGAAGTTATCTGGACATCCCAAGTAACCAGAAATCCCGCCTTTTTGCAATATAAGGCTGATAAGCTTTATATTAGCCGCATGTTAGCCTTATATTGCAAAAAGGCGAATTAGCGGGTTTGTTGGTTACTTAGGATCTCTGCTAACCTGAAGTTCTCTAAATTTGTTTAGTGTTCCGGCAAATTTTCTGATATAGGGGAAATGGATGTAATGTCGGTCTAAATGCCCCTAATTTGGGCCCATACATGATTTCAGCAATCGACTAAATTTTCAATAGCTTGCTTGCTTGAGCTTGATTGACCGCCCACGGTTGCTACTCTGTTATTGCCAGATCAGCTGTAATTACACAGAGAACCAATAGACGATGCTTGGGACTAGCAATCATCATCAATGTGTAAAAACTGGTGATCTTAAATTAGGTAATACCAGCGCTGGCCGCGCCCGAACACAGGTCAAGAAAGGAATGGAAAGGATTGTGTTGACATGACACTCGCTTTGATGGAAGCCGAGAACACCTCTGCACTTCCACGAGAAATCACTGGGATGTTGGATAAGAGGGTTGGGTTTGCAGCAGGGTTCGTTTTGTTAAACGATAAGCAGAATTGATGTCCTAACGATCATATAACGCGAAGGAGCTTGGGACTAAACCCTCGGTCTTCTGCTCAGTAAGCAAAAACGTTTGCCACTAGACAGACGAGCACCTTTTTAATCACCGAGTTGCTGTTATTACCATGTAGTCATGTTAACAAATAAAACGATTGACGAGTCTTGAATGCGGATGGGCCTGAGATTAGACTCATGATCATCGACCGCGTTACGAAAAGTGGTCAGATTTGGACTACTTATAACTCTGTCAATAGCAGATGGATTTTAATTCTAAATAAGCCAATCGATTGGAAATTTTTCTACAAATCTGTTAAACTAAACACTTTACCATTTTCCAATAGGTCACCATTGAAAATTATACAAATGTCCAACTGTTATAATGGTATCAAAATTATCATCGATTGCGCTTTCCCTAACATAGATTTCAAAATCGAATTCCATCCAGCCTCGTGTGTGGTGGTGTCCGGTCGGTCATCATCAGCAGCAGCAACAGCAGCAGTGCTTTCGGCGCGTGGCGTTGTACATTTTTCTCCAGTACACAACGAAAGGCTCCCCACAAGCAGCTAAAGGGTGTCCACGATGAAATTGCCACACAATGAAATTGCTCTAACTTTTTAACCGTTGGGTAGAATTTAATGAAAATTTGGGTGGATTTAGTTCATAGTGCATTATTTACATCCTGCAAGTTTTAAAGTCCTGTGATCAAAACTCGCGGAAATGGAGTCGAAAGGACAGCTCGTGCGTGATAAAATCTTGCGCATTCATCACGAGAACAAGGATCTCTCGCATCGTTCCATCGCTAAAACGTTGGGAATCGCGAATTCCACGGTGTCGCGAGTGATTAAGCGGTTCGAGGAACGGTTGACCACCGATCGGAAGCCCAGAAGTGAAGGAAAAAGTATTCCGTACAACACCAAAAATCACAACCGCGTAGTTTGGGCCTTCAACCGAAATCCGAACGCCTCCGTTAGGGATGTGGCTAAGAAGCTGCACCTAAGCCGAAGTTTTGTCCAGAAGGCCAAAACTAAGGCTGGGCTTCAAACGTTCAAGGTACAAAAGGCCCCTAATCGCGACGAGAAGCAGAACAAGTCCGCCAAAACCCGTGCCAGCAAGTTGTACCTCAACATGCTGACGAAAGTTGAATGCTGCATCATGGACGACGAAACATATGTGAAGGCCGACTTCAAACAGATCCCCGGCAACCTGTTTTTCACGGCCAAGGATAAGTTCAGCGTTCCGGAGCATGTCCGCACTCAGAAGATGTCCAAATTTGCGAAGAAATTCCTGGTTTGGCAAGCCATCTGCACGTGCGGGAAGCGGAGTGCACCTTTCGTGACCCAGGACACGATGAACGGACAGGTGTACATAAAAGAGTGCCTCCAGAAGCGGCTGCTTCCTCTCCTGAAGGCCCACAACGTCCCAACAATCTTCTGGCCGGATTTGGCCTCATGCCACTACTCCAAGGACGTGCTGAAGTGGTATGCGGACAATAAGGTCAATTTCGTGCCGAAAATGTTCAACCCTCCCAACACTCCGGAGCTCCGCCCCATCGAGAAGTACTGGGCGATTATGAAGCAGCACCTTCTTAAACGACCTAAGGTAGTGAAGACAGTCGAGGAACTGAAGAAAGTATGGGTTTACATGCAAAAAACGGTTGATTCACAGGTTGTGCAGAATCTTATGGCCGGGGTTAAGGCCAAGGTGCGGGCATTTGCGTATGGACTGTAAATAAAATACGAGTAAAATGGTAAAATGAAGTTTAATAGTTATTTCTCAATCCCTGAAAATTTGATGGCAATCGGATGAAAACTCGAATTTTGCGAATCAATTTTGTGTGTGGCAATTTCACCGTGGACACCCTTTACACCATGGAAATCGGATGTTGCAGAGAGCCTCGAGATCAACAAACAACGGAATTCAACTTTACTCAACAGGGATCAAGGAAACGAACACACATGCCTTTACAAGTTACTACCTAGAGCACATCAACGAGATTTCAGTTTAGCTTCTAAGTGAAAATGTACCTAGGTTGATAGATATTTGGAAAAATGTTATGTTTTCTTCAGTCGAGTACTTCAGTACAAGACACTGAAGAAGTCTGCACACTGTAGACGAAATACGCATATCTGTCAAGGATAAGCTAATAAGGTAGTGGAATTAAATGGAAATTACTAATCCTTCCCTCTCTTT